CGGCGGTTCGAACCCCGGCTCCGCTAGTCGCATGTCGATGTGTCCTTGAGCAAGAGACTTGACCCCCAAAATTGCTCCTGTAGTTGTGCCTACAGTGTAGAAATGTGATAGACTCTGAATTGTAAGTCGCTTTGGATAAAACCATCTGCTAAATGACTGTAATGTATGTATGTATGTATTAATGCGCTACGATAGAAGATGGGAGAATGAAAGGTTTCCTGAGGACTAAAACGTACTGTTTCTTTTAAATACCTCTTTCTGTGCATATATTATGAATAGATAAAACATATAAAACACGTCAAAGGTTTTTATCTAAACAATATCAATAAAGCTTTTGTACACTCAAAATAAGAATAACGTTTTAATAAACTAAATGGATTTGGGCACTGAATGAAATGATGTAAAAGTGACATTATGTAAAGAGCTGCTTTGTTCTTAACAAACGTTCACAATCACACAGTGAAACAGCCCATCAGGGCAGCATGTCTATGTAGTTTAAGAGGAGGACCTTCTGTTGTCTTTCCTTCAACACTAAAACCACAGTTCAGGTTTTCACTGCTGGTCATCAGACCAGAGCCTTAAACTACTGAGCTACACCGTGTGTCCAGTCGATGATGCAGTGTGCGTTTCTTTTCAGGAGCTGCATGTGATCTTCCCCTGGCTGGTGGAGACCGTGTTTGGTAGTCTGGACGGCATCATCTCCGGCTGGAACCTGCGACTGCTGCATTCACGGAGCAACGAGTACAACGTCGTCGTGGAGTTTCTAAACCCGAGGTAGACGCAGCGTCTGTTCTCCACCGTCGCATCAGCAGTTTGATTCCTCGGGTTCAGAGAATCAACCCGTGTTCTCTTGTTCTTTCAGTGGGCCGATGATGAAGCTCGTCTATAAGCTTCAAGCAGAAGAGTACAAATATGAAATACCCGTCAACTATCTGCCGGTAAGAACATTCGTCTCTTTAGTGTCTCGACCTCCATTGTTTCCATGTGACAGACTCTTATTGTAGAGCAGCGAGCATGTGAATGTGCGGCGGCTGTTTGATGAGAGTTTAAACACAGACTGCGTCGCTCTGTGAGCATCTATCACATGTTTCATTCATGACGTTCTCAAGCACTCCGTCCTCCTGCAGAGAGCTTCAGTGACTAACAGAGATCAATGACTCAGCGTTATGCAACACACGCGGGACTGAAGTGGAAAAGATGACCTCATTGCAGAGCGTCAGAATAAAGCTCTTCACTCTTTGGAATATCAGCTTTATTAGACGCAGCGAGGGCACTTTTCTGAACCAATTTTTAGAAGAACTATGATCGACGGCGTAAACAAAAGAATTTTAATTAAATTCTCTGTTCCCAGTAAAACTTTGACTATTAAATAACTTACGTTTTTCTCCAAAACGGCATCGAGTTACTTGAGAAATAACATTCAACTGAAATGAGCTTCATGTCTTCTTCACTCTCACTGATGTGTCTGATCACTGATCTCTAGATGAGTCTGTCATCCATGATGTCGAGCAATACAACAAGTCACTGGTCCTCAGTGCTGGAAGCTACTCCAGCTGAAGAATTGTAGCTGCCATTGTTACCCCGGTATGTGTCTTGCAGGGTCCTGTGAAGGTCTGCATCCAGGAGGGGGTCCTCCCAGAATGCCCTCTGTTCCACAACAAGCTGCAGTTCCCTCTCTCTGGTCTGCTGACTCTGAACCTGGCTCTCAGTATCCTCCAACACAAACACTGCTCTGTCTGCTCTCCGTGTTCTCAGAGGCAACAGAAGCATGAGATGATCACAGCTGTTGTCCTGTTTAGTGTTTAGTGTCTCTTTATCTCAGCATGTTCAACACACTCTTCTTCTGTCCGATGAATAGCTCAAACCTCAAAGATATTTACTTTAATATGTGACAAAGGGAATGACCCTGAAAGAATCCATCACTTCTGATGTTTTTTGAGTGATCAGTGAACGAATCATTCCAGCGGTGATCCTTCTGAAGGTTTAGTTTACTGTCGACTTCACGTCATTATTCCTCAACGCTCTGCAGATCCTTTTGAATTCTTCATGTTTCATTTTGCCTCCTGTCTCATCACGCCGACGGTGAGTTTGCCAAAACTCCTATGGGTGATATTTAGCTTTGAGTTAAAGTGCTTCTTGTGAAGTCTTCATTGTTTGATGAAGCGTGGGCTGTTAAAAGATAATAATGTGGATTCATAAAGCGTCTCTTATTTTTAAAGTTGACCGTAATGAGTTTGTTTTCAGAGCTACCCACAAGGCCACCATGGGAGCTCCACTGACAGCGCCTACTTTGTGCTGGTGGACACGTACCTGAAGTACTTCCTGCCCTGTGAAGGAAGTGTTCCTCCGTCTCCTTTCTCTGACTCCAGAGGCTCCGTCACTGCACCGTCACCCAGGTACTTATTACACAAAGCTTTCATAAACCCACCAGAGTGCAGTCTGTCAAACTAACCTCTTTGATTACGAGAACCCCAGTGGAGGATGAATGGTTAAATGTTTGACCACACTGGTACAAATAACAAGTGGACATGGTCATGGTGACCTCACCCGGTGTTTTGAAACCTCGAGTTCGGCGATTTCGTTGTCGCCATCTTGAATTACGTCCGTCGCCATGTTGTTTATTCACAACCAGTGAACAGGAAGTGACCATATCTGGACTGAGGAGGAG